CCTGTTGACATGTGTTCGCATATCTAATTGCAGCACTGATAGCTAGAAGCTCTGCTTGGTATACCGAGTTGTTCAAGCCTAATTTCCTTTTCCACTCGAATGTTACAACTCCATTTTCTAGTCTACAGAAGGCGCTGCCCGTGCCGTTCTCAGTTTTGGAGCCATCTGTGAAAAGGTTATTACTAAAGGTTATTACTGTCTCTGAATTGGTTGGTCGTTTATACTGATACCGTCAGAGAGATTAAAAGCTGCTGGATGAAAGTTATTGCAGTTGTTTTGCTCCTCGTAGTCCGAGTGGTGATAACTATGACCCCAGAGTGTTGAAGTTTGACCCAGCCTGGTAACCCTTACGATAGCTGCCTCCCTTTCTACTATCAAATCTAGGGGAGGAATTCCTGCTAGTTGTTGTAGGGCTAGTGTTGACGTGGTACGGTAGGCCCTGCATACTTGAAGTAGCTGCTGTCTCTGAATAGAGAGCAGGGATCTTTTCATATGAGAGGTAAGTTCGCCACCCCAGATTGCTGCTCCATAAGTTATTACTCTTTCTGTAATGGTTCTATGCCAAATTTTTAGTAGCTTAGATGAGATACCCCATTTATGTGAAGTCATGCGTCTCATGTTGTTGCTTAGGATGCTAATTCGAGTCTTAAGATTCCTGACATGTGGCATCCAAGAAAGTCTGTTGTCGAGTAATAGCCCAAGATATTTCAATTGGGGGAAACATTTTACCGGTATCCCATGGAGTTTAATGCTTGGGTTGCGTCTTAGCTGCCTGCTGCGTCCTATGAGCAAAGCTTTAGTTTTCTCTGCCGAAATCTGAAGCTTATGTGCTCTGGCCCATTGGGAGAACAGATCAAGACAGTATTGAGATCTCATTTCGAGGTTACTCCTTCCTGCCACAACTAGCATAAAATCGTCCGCATAGGCTATGATTCGAGCGTATTCTACGCTCTCAAACTGACGAAATGCCGAGTTTGCCACTATATTCCACAGTGTTGGTCCAAGGCATGACCCCTGTGGGCATCCTCTAAAGACATTTTTGACATAAATGCCGCTGTCTGATGTTACTTGTACACTTCGATCTTGAAGGTAAGAGCGAAGGATGGTAATAATGGCTGTTGGGCACGCCATGTTGTGCAGAAAATTTATTACGTCTGGCCACCAAAGGGAGTCAAAGGCTCCCTTGATGTCAATGGCTATTGCCATTGATTGAGTGCAAATTGTTATCCTTGTTCTGTTTGATAGTGGCCATTAAGTCTTTTTATGGCATTTAGACTATAGAGTACTTTCAATTACAACATTAATGTAAAAGTAATATTAATTTTAAGAGTATTATATGTGCTACTCAGGTTAGACTAGCTTATTTCAATATTGTAGAATGCCAACCATGCAGCCACGTGGGTTGAACTACCGGTATACAAGAGCCTGCTAGTGGGCAAGATGATATTCAAGGCATATTTCATTTTCTTCTTTTTCTATAACTTCAAATAAAAGGCTTTGGGGAATATATCGATTACAGTGCAAGTGCTAGGATTGGTATGTCAGTGCAGAGAGATGTAAGGGTCACATTCATTTTGACAACCTTGTAATCTGTAAATTAATTTGCCCCTTTTTGTGTTGAATCATCTGTAATTATCATGTGTTAAATCGTGCAATTTCGTTCATTAAAGAAAAATATCGAGGCTCACCTCACTAAAAGATAATCTTTTCGAGTTAATGATACTAAGAAAAATTACAGGTCCACAAGACTTTATGAATGGATATGGAGCTAATTTTTATTATTATTATTATTTTATGTAAGCATAGAGCTAATTACTGGAAACAGATATCATTTTGTGTAGTTAAAAATTTGAGATAAAAATTTAAGAAGCTCTAGAAATAACATAAATCAAAAGAAAAATTGCCATAAATGCATCAACATGAAAAGAAATTCAATAGTGAATTTCAAAGAAGGTTATTTTCTGTTAAAATTGGTATTGCATCATGTCTTGATAAATCTGTGCAGATATAACATGGACCGTTGCTGAAATTTCTCTGAACATGAAACCGCTAAAATCAGGAAGAAAACGTATTTAGGTGTTATAACTAACCGATTAATCTGTATTTTATTGTACTTCTGTTAGTACAGTAATGTGGTAAAACCAAATGGATACCTGTACTTAATTGAGAAAAATCAAGTCTTCGTAAACTAAATGTAGTGCCGGCTTTGACGAAATGGAGATTATTAAAAACTATACAGGATGGTTTTTAACTTAGTGTAAAAAATGCTAGAAACAGCATTTTATATACAGAGGCTGTTTCCCTTGCATGAAAATTAGTGAAATGGTATTTTAAAATCTTAATCGGTACTTCTTCCATTTTCTATCCTAAGTTAAAATACTTTCACAGAAACTTTAATAAAGTAACTGTTGCTCGAGCAAAAATCAAACCTATATTCGTAAAAGCAAAAATTTCACTGCAAAAATTTTGATAGGTAGTTATTTATATGACTTATGACGTGAACTCTATAATTCAACTATCATATAAATACTATTCCTAATATACATAAAATTTAATTTTTATTTGGCTCTATAGTCAACCCTGTAATGTATAATATAGCATGGCTTAAGTAATAATTTTTGCAATACAATGTATTGTGGAATGTGAAACATGAATACAGAAACATATTAAGTGCAAAGAACATAGAGAATAAAATGCCATTTTAATCATAGATATTTACAGGGAAATAATGCTTGATATTTATCAGAATTGTTCAGATGAAATGTTACTAACTGCAATACATGCATCACAATGACAAAGAAGTGATTGGCATATACTTTAAAAGCTATTCAGCAAGTCTCTGCTGCATTGACAAGGTCTGCAGTAGAATCAATCTCTGTTTCATGAACAAGATCCACTGTCATTGTAATGCATGAAGTTTGCATTGTCTATTTGTACAATTCATTTATAATAATTCACAAATATCTTGCTGTAATCATAAACAATTACCAAGGACTTCAGTTTACTTCATTAAACTAAATAAATCATGAAGGAAATACTGCAAAATTTTCACTATCACATTCCGTAAGTTGGAGATGATAATATATTTATGATAATTAAAATCAAAAATGAAACAAACTATTTTTAGTTTATTCTTATAGCATTTAAATCCACTTTTATTAACTGCATACAGCATTATTTTATGACACCAGGAAATATTAATTTATTAAAATTTATTGAGACTTCTCAGTTCATAATGCATTATATATATATAAATTACTATTAAGGTGAGGAAATGTTTAATGCAAATTACTCTTTCCATTACATAATGCATAACTAAATATGTGTTTAAATACTACATAAGTAGTTCCCAGTTTTACCAGGCAAATTTCTTATTGTCTATGTAGTACTATGTTATAACATTTCGTGGAGCTACAGCTCCTGGTAACTTTTTAGCAAGGTTGCTGCAATGTTCCTACCTACTACTATTCTTTCAAATCTTTTTGCAGCATTATGCGCAAAAGTTTTTGAGACCAGATAGGTCTTTCGTCTAATTACCAGTTCGCTTTACATTTTCTTTTTCAATAAATACTACAAAATATATATCCTTCTAGCAAGTTTAATGAAATTTTTATATTTATACTGCAATTAAAAATGAAATCGCATTTTGTCGAATTTTGAACAATTAAGACTTAAAAGCATTACCATGGCTAACAGCACACAAATTTATCACATACATATTTCTAAAAAGTTATTATTATTTCTAATTCGTACAATAAATACTAAAAATATTAAATGTGCTATAAACTAAATATCAGACTGAGGCTACAAATGTCCCAGAACAAATATACTGCAAAATGCTTAGTCTGAGAACTTAGGTCTGTTTAAGCCAGATATTTGTAGCAACTGTGGGCTTAATCCTAGTATCCGGTGCATACGGGATTTGGCTACTTTTGGCGACTTTATGATGAGCAGTAAAAACGAAACATATACGATGAGTAGTAAACGGGTCATTCAAAGAATGTATATAGTTATACATAGTTATATAGTATGTACTATGTAGTGATAGTGTATAATATATACATAGACGTTCTTTGGGTCATTTTTGGTGTTGGCGATAATTTTCAAAAACGCGCCAAGGCTGCACCGTATACTAGGATTTTACCCAACTGTGAAGTAAAACTGCCACTCTACAGGCAAATTTAAAGTTCCTCTGAATTCAGATTACTGTACATAACTATGAATATGATATGAAAGCACACATTGCAAGAAAGAAAGTACAAGAAAATGTTAATAGATTACTTGCAATCAATGCACATAAAATAAATACTAAAAAGCTATAGAATAAACCATGTTTGAACATCGATGAGTACAGGGAAGCATAACAAAGCAAATGAAAACAGAAAATAAAGCATTAAATAAATATTTACAGGTGCAAGACACTTATTTTTATATATATTATCAATATTTTATTCAATTATGTGCTATTTCTAATTTAACACTCTTTGCTTGATAAGCAAACAGCAAACATAATAATATTTTCCGTATACGTATCCCGATCTGCTGCTACGGATAATCCCTTAGCAGGGAAAAAGTATCCCGCTGTCCTGGATGACAACCATAACGTGGTCTACCATAATATGCCGTTTCTCCCCGTTTTGGCGTTAAGGCTGTTCTCCGAACCTTATCACCCAAAGTTTCTATCATAGTCTCTATCAAAGGACTAGTCCCTGAACTCTGAACTCCTGAAGTTTATGTCTCATAGCTAGATAGTTAGCCATAGCAATATACCCAGAAAGTACATGTGGAGGATTTAATCCCTATATTACAAGAATATCTCTGATTACTTATTATAGGGTTCACATTTTAAGAATTCCTTTTTTTTTTTTTCCTTAAATTCTTTTGGATAATTATGGACTAAATGTTATATAAACTCTTTTACAACTTCCGTATGTTATAATTTATTCTTCTGTTGTTTTGGGAGCCTTTTTATTCATTTTCGGTATGTCTTCCAGAAACCCTTAGCTAGAGCTACTAGAGCCTTACAAAAGAGGAAATGCGTCACGACTGCAGTACAGGTTATTGCTAGTGTGAGTGACACTCAACCCAACTCAAATCCTGTTTACTTCTTGTTACTGACGTCATTTGTTCAGCTGTGGTAGTTGCAGTGCGTGAACCTCTCTTTGTGCTTTGTTTCCACTGGATGGAAATTTGGTATTGTGATTATTGAACACTTTAACTGTAGTTCCTTTATTCTAACAAATCATCGAAAACGTAGAATTTAATCTAGAATGGCACAAAACCCTACAAGCAGTGCATTACGTGCTTTAGCCTTGGAATTCAAAAGCCTTCAAGAAGAACCTGTCGAAGGCTTTCGCGTCAAGCTTGTTACCGAGGAAAATCTGTTTGAATGGGAAGTAGCGATTTTTGGACCTCCTAAAACGCTGTATGAAGGCGGATATTTCAAGGTAACTAACATTCACTGGCTGAAATATCCTTGTAAGGTGATGATTACTTGGTTGAATTAGTTTTAACTATTTGTTTACATCAATGACAATTAATTGCCATGATTTTATATCGGTATGAGTGTCTAATATTTTGAATTTATATTTCATTTAAATTTTAATCATAGTGTGACAGAAAGTGTAAAAGTAAAATTAATATCATTTATGACATTTCAGTGTTATTTAATTTTGCTCTTTAATTTATTATACTACATTATATAAATGCATTAATCGTAATTTAGGTCACTTTTCTCTGCCTTTGTGTACTTCTGTATATTTATTGTTATTCCACATATTCAAAGCTAAAATTGTCTTACCATGAAGTATGTATATTTTCACTAAATTTAGTAATTTTCTTATAATTCCATGTAAATTAATGGAAACATTTATACGAAAAAAAATATTTTTTAAGTTTCCTTTCAAGAACTATGGAATATTTTTTGTGATTCAGTTTGTCATTTAAATGCTGTCTAAGCTACTAGGTGGTAGCAAAAATATTTTTGAGCTGATATTTCATTAACATGTAAAAACTTGTGTGTAAAATAAAGCATACCATGTTCTGTTAGGTATTTTTCATATTATCATATATGTTGATGTTTTAGGCTTCATGTGTAGTCCAAGTTCCATTGAAGGAATTACACGTGTTTCAAATCTTGTTACTGGCATCTGAATTAAAAGGTGGTGTGGGATAATTTGTCACTGTCCATATTTGGTGATTGTGTCCCCTTCTTTCGAGCACCTTTCAAGTGGGAGAGAATATAAGATATTATCTCCCTTTTCTTCCATGTGTGCCTTCAGTATGCAATTGGGAAGTATGTAATTGTAATCTTCAGTATGCAATTGGAATCCACCTAGTATTCCTAGTATTGCCTGTTTGTCACAACTCCTGTTCGAAAATAAAATGCCTAATAGTGTATTGTATTAAAAATTGAATAAAGAAGTTCATTTTATAGAGAAATTTCCATTTCTCAGATTTCAGTTTAGTTTAAGTTTTTCAGTATGTTCTAATTTTTACATAAAATTCACTGCTATCAATAGTTTACTGTACAGAGGCTGTTTGCACATTTTTTAGACAATTTTCATTGTATTTATGGAAACATCTTACCTAAAATTTTTGTACTCTAAATGTTCTATATGGCAACCCTTATTTTTCACTATCATCCATTTCCAAGACAAAACCTTTCGTTTTATTAGAAGAGGTATTAGCCCATTCCTCTTGAACAGTTTTCTAAGGTCCAAGGAGGTTGTAGGTAGACAATTCGAAGATCCATTCAGATTTACTAGGAATAGAAGTAAAGGGTTATAGCTTTGATAACCATTTATTGTTTCATTTTTTAGGGAAAATAACAGTAAGTTTGATGTGTGGCTGTTTGCTTTGTCGTGATGCGGTTCTACTCATTGATGGCACTATGGATAAAGAGAAGGTATTTTTGTACTTTTCCATTTTGCCGGTGCAGGCTATAAATTTGCCAATAATAGTAAAACAGATGCCAAACGGAATATCCTAACTGGTAATCTCGTGCGCCTCATTTTCAAAACAAGTCACAGCCTTTTCTTGTCAGATTGATTGTCTTTCAGCATTGCCATACAATTACATAGAAATTTTACCAGATAGTCCAATTTTATGCCTTAAGGCAATTCAAATTGAGTCAATTAGGATACAATCACACTGCTAATCTGAAGGCGAAAATATAAAAAGGGCAATGTCAAGGGTTAAGTTCATCAATTTTAATGAGAATGCACTAGCGAAGTAAAGCACTGTGCTTTTACATAATTTCAGAAAAGCTATTCATACGAATTGAAATAATTCTTGCATTTAAACTTGTATTCCAAATTCAGATTTAACTTGAAATTAATGTAGATAATTACTGAGAGAATTAGCTTTTTGCAACGTAGTTTACGCGAGATGAGATTACTTGGGATCACGTTATATAAATTGCCGAATCAGTATGTTGAACCATGAAAGCATAGTACATTCTTAATGTCTTTTTACAAATGTAATGTCTTTATTTATTGGCTTTTTACAAAATTTTAAACAATATTAAAATGTTTATACCTTCAAAATAAAAAATTATTAGAACCATTACCATTCAAATGTTAATTCGTTAATATTTTTTATGTGTATACTGTATGTTGTTGCTAATAAAGTCTGCTTGGTGAGACTTGCGCCACGAAACAGAAAAGTACCGGTATTTTATATTTGAAAATTAGGTATAAAATATGTTCCTGATAATATGTGGAGTTGATCTTAACATTTTTTTACCACCTTCTTTATTTTTAATTTGTTCTTATATAAAAAACCAGCAACAGTCATAAATCCGCCTGAAAAACTTTCTTTGGATTCTTTTAATCATATTTTAAGAATTTATTTTTCTCCGCTCTGATGATAATAAATGGATCTTTCTTTTATTGCAATAATTTAAATACACCCAATTTACATCTGTTGTGAAAATATTTTTCTAGATAATTGTTTCTCGTAAAGAATTCCGCAGGGTATTTGGCATCGGCGCACATTATGCTTTTTTTCTTCTTTTTAAAATTCAAATCAGCATTAATCATACAGTTAATACTGAGGATTTTAATTGTTTTGCTGCTGTCCTTTTACTTAGCGGATTTCTTTTAGCAATAAAGATCTTATTCTTGCAATACTCGAAACATTAAATTTTTTCCGTGGATATAGACTTGGAACAATTCAGTTTCTTATTAATGATATTACCTGTCATATCTTTAGATATTGAAAACCCATGGTTTTCACTACAATTTTTGCTAATTAGATATGAATAATTTTCTATGGGAAGAGCGCAAACATAGCCTTCTTTCTATACATTGTTTCTTTAAAAATGTGATTTTGTATGAAAACAAAACCATCAAGTAGCAGACGATAATTTATACTTTCAAAAATATAGCTGCAGTTAAAAAAAATTTTTTCAAGCAGACGAATTTTCTTTACACCAGAAGAAAATCCCCTAAAAATATGTGGAATACCTTCTGTAGATATACAGTCAAAAGTCTTTAATCCGGACGTCCATAATCCAGAATGATCTATAATCCGGACCTCAAAGCTACAAACTTTCTGCGTTTGCGTCAACGCATAATACGTTTGACACGTGTGTTTAATGTATAACGAACGGTATAAGCTAATCTAACATTATCTAATTATCTATTTCAGTTAATGTTGCAGATTGTGTTGTTCCTTAATCTTCTAATTGGATCCGGCTTATTTTTTGCAGACTGTTATAGTAATTTTATAAAAGTAAGCTTGAACTTTCGACTATGTCAAAAAGAACTTCCGATTCTGGAGCTGCCAAAGGATCTACAAAGTGAAAGCATGTTTCAATGTCCATCAAACAAAAAGTGGAATTCCTGCAAAAAATGGATAAAGGCATATCCTTTGCTTCTCTAACCATTCCGAAATCTGTTTATCAATTTCACGCTGCTCTGCGGGGGGGGGGGACGCCGCGGAGCGCAATGAACTGGAAGTTGATCTGTCAGCATTATCCTCATCTTCAAGGCAGATGTTTTTATTTTATTTGGCTTCTAATTCCTTACTAAATGTAGTATTTCATATCAATGTACTCCGTTTTTGATATTATTTAAATCAAACTCCTTGTCATTATAAATATCATATCACGAATACATATCAAATAGTTTTCTGGTTGCAATTTTCTAATTTCGACTATGCCTAATGTATACTTAACGCATGCGCCCATTGAAAGAAATGTTGAATAAAGTAAACAAATAAATATTAAGCTTTTTTTTCGTAAATTTTGATACCCTTTATATCATAATTGCCCTTTATTTCATAAATTATGATTTCATATTTTTAATTTTATAATTTCTGCATGCCATCTTACCAGATTTAAACTGATGATCTATAATCCAGAAAAACCGATAATCTGGAATCGCCCAATGAGTTCGGATTAAAGACTTTTGACTGTATATAGTATTACCGATGAAGTGTGAATTGAGTGCATCTTTATTATTCATAATAGGGAATAACAGAACTACTCTTACACATGCCCTCGGTTGGTGGCGAGAAACTCCATGGCGCCATATTACTATCTAAATTTTTTTGTCTACATTTTGAACTTTAAGCCTAAAATATCTTTAAAAACGTGGTTTTCGCTCGTGCAAAAGCCGCTTTTTTATCACATAATTTATGCCAAAAATCTGAAACAAAAACAGAAAATTTATCTGGCAAAAACGTAAAGTTTCTAACCAAAAATATTTGACAAGAATACATGTACACAGCGATCTGTTTTAACTTTAAAATAATCAGAGAATTGCATAATCTGTGCAGTGTAGGAATCTAGGACCTACACACACCTTGCTAAAATAAACTAACATAACAATAAATTTCAAACAATACCCTGTACACAGCATTCTGTTTTAACTTTAAAAAAAATATCAGCGAATTGCACAATCTAGACATTGTGCACAAATCAGCTAACTAAAATAAATTACAAACAATTTAAAAAACAACATTAATGATAGAAATTCATAGGAAAAAAAAAATGAACATAACATTCTACAAAATAAGAACAACAAAATAAAATGCACTTACCATTGTGAAGACTTCTTCAAACAGTAGAAATATTAATTTTCACCCCTTTATCGTTACATGTTATCTTCTGAGATACAGAGCATACAAAGTCCAGCATACATTTATGAATAAAATCTGCGTAAACACACCCGTGAATAAAAGACTAGTTAACAACTCCAATATCATACCTTTTAATACTAAATTTAACTTGCACACAATCCAAAATACGTGACTGAAAGTGCCACCACGTCTTTCGTTGCAGCGTAAGCCATTTCAAAACGCCCACCAAACCAATCACCAAATAAAACCACTACAACAAAATCAAGTTTTCACGTCAAAAGAGTTGCCATACAAACAACGTCGTGCCAAAACCCATTGCAGAACACACATTGCCACATTTGGCGACTTAAGGGCGTATATAAGAGTACTACCGGAATAACTTTAAACAATACATTTTTTGGTACTTTTCCATTTTGGCGGCGAAGTGAAAAAGTCGCCAAAAATGGTACAACTGTTACCAAACGAAATATCCTTGCTGGTAATCTTTTACACCTCATTTTCAAAATAAGTCGCAGCCATTTCTTATCAGATTGTTTTTTTGATTATTCTTTGGATTATGGTAACTTGGCGAAAATTTGGCGACCAACCCTGCTACAGCAACCTGCTAGTTTTTTTTTTGGACGCCATTTTGTTTTCAGTAAGTAAAAGCATTTTTTTTTAATCAACATTTTTTTCCAACAATGCTAGCCGAATTATGCTTATGTTAGAACTTTTATGGAACAAAAGTGCTTAATCATGACGAAGATTAGGTGCGAAATTGGGAGAAAGTGCAGAATCGCAAACTGTTTGCCACGTTTTTAAAAATTGCACATACATGGTATCCATGTACACGTCGACCTATTTTCACTTTAAAAAAAATTCCAGAATTGCACAAAAATGGCATTGTGCACCATGTACACTATTATCCATGTACACTGCTAAAGTCCTAGCTAGTAACCTTTATCGCCTTACCAAAATGTCGCCAAACTACCTGTTACCATATTCCAAAGATTATCCGATTCTTTCAACACTGGTATGCAATTACATAGAATTTTTACCCAGATAGTTCAGTTTTATACCCTAAGGCCATTCATGGTAATTAAGTGGTGTGATTTAGGATGCAATCACACCACTTGCTCAAAGGCGAAAATTTTGAAGGAGCAAAGTCAAGGGTTAAATTTGTCAATTCTAATGAGAATGCCGTAGCGAAGTAAAGCACTGCGGTTTTACATAATTTTGAGTAAGCTATTCGTATGAATTGAAATAATTCTTGCATTTAAACTTGTATTCCAAATTAAGATTTAACTTGAAATTAATGTGGATAATTACTGAGAGAATTAGATTTTTTTAGCATAGTTTACGTGAGTT